TCTTTTTGGGTCACACCCGGCGATGCACAGGAGTTACTCCTGGTTCTGCACTCAGGAATTACCCCTGGTGGTGCTCAGGCGACAATATGGGATGCTGGGAATTGAACCCGGGTCGGCCGCGTGCAAGGCAAACGCCCTACCTGCTGTGCTATTGCTCCGCCCCCCCATTGTATGAATCACTGTATCACTGTATTACTCATCCTGTTGTTCATCGATTTTCTCGAGCAGGCACCAGCAATGTCTCCTTTGTCCTAGCCCTGAGATTTTAGAAAGTGCCACATTTGAGGCTCTTTCAGGGTCAGGAGAATGAGACCCATCATTGTTACTGGTTTTTGGCATATTGAATACACCACGGGGAGTCTGCCAGACTCTGCCACATGGGTAGGATACTTTCAGTAGCCTGCCAGGTTCTCCACAGTAAGAACTAGATAATAAGATGTCTCGTGGCCACAAATGTGTATGAATATAACTATATACATATCAAAATATAGATAAACTTCCCTTTTGGGGGATATATATCAGACAGTGCTCATGGCTTACTTATGTCTGTGTCAGGGTTTTACCCTGGCACAGCTTTAGGGCGTTTGTCTTGCACGAGGCCAGCCCGGTCGACCTGGGTTCGATTCCTGTGCCCCTTTTGGAGAGCCCGGCAAGCTACAGAGAGTATCTCACCCGTACAGCAAAGCCTGGCAAGCCACCCGTGAAGTATTTGATATGCCAAACACAGTAACAACAAGTCTCACAATGGAGATGTTACTGGGCCCGCTCCAGCAAATCGATGAATGATGGGAGGACAGTGCTACAGTCCCAGCATCAACTCTACTGCATCAGGAAAAGTGATGTCCCCTGCTGTACTATCTCTCCAGACTACTGTTAAATTTCTTAACCTATTTCTTCTATATTCCTTCACTCTTGAGACTGTCTCCAGAAACAGCACTATCTCTTCAACAACTTAGATGGAAAACTGTGGAATTTTCTGAGCTTGATGATTTACTCATGCCTAAAATCCAGGCAGAGAAAGACTTTTTATGAGGACTACACCATTCCCTCCATTTCATCTCCACTGCTACTACGGCATTCCGCTGAAAAGACGCTAGCAGCCTCCCATACTCTTCTTATTCTTACCCGTACGGGCCCCACTTGACACAAATATAGCATACATTTTGTGAATGCTATATTGAATACGCCTCAGATGAGTTCATTTTCCCATTTAAAACCCTCCAGTGGGGACTGGAGCGATACCACAGTGGGTAGGGCGGTTGCCTTGCATGCGGCCGACCTGCGCTAGATTCCCAGCATCTCATATAGTCCAGAGCACTGCCAGGAGTAATTCCTAAGTAATTCCTGAGTGCAAAGCCAGGAGTAACCCCTGTGCATCGCTGGTGTGTCCCCAAAAAGAAAAAAAAAACTCCAGTGCCTTTTTATTGCACTTTATATAAAACTTAAAGTCTGCCATGATCAAGAGAAGCTCATGTTGCCTGTTCCAAACTTACCTATCTGACCTCTTTGACAACTTACTCTAGTAATACATACATGCTTAGTCATGATGATTTTTTTCCTACTTTTCACATTCTCACATTATTACTTCTATACCACTATAGCATTTACCACATGGACCTGAATAGCATCATGTGGTTAAATATTGTTAATGCAAAATCCCAATCCGAGGCCCTCCAACACAAATGGGATTTTCCTGACTAATTTTCCACACTAATTTTCTAGCCACATACACATAAATATACTGGTATAACTGCAGCAACATGTTTTATTTCTCGATAGCATTTATAATGTTAACTTTGTGGTCATTTACGTTCTCTTACTGTTATTTGCCTTAATTAAATCTAAGTGTCATTGGAGCAGGACCCTGGGGACAGGGAGTCTTTGTTACATAGAATATGTTATTTAGTATGTAGCTCAACCCATCTTCTGGGTTATGCTACATTCACTGCATATATCTTAAGCAAGTAAGACCCACTGGGAATACAACGATGTTCTTATTCATAATGTCACCAAGAACAAGATACAGGGCTTTCAGTCTGGCAATATTGGGATCAAAACTAATTTGAAGGTATGCTTTGTATGTCTAGCAAAGTGTAGAAATGAATTTGATTTTGAATGATTTTTCTAGAGCAGCTGTGCATTCTAGTTCACTACAGTGCCAAAATTTCACTACCTTATATACTACTGCTATATCTAATAATGAATGAGACCAGTTGTAGTTACTTAAGTAAGTGATTAAGTGATATCTAATAATGAATACATGATTTTCTGGATCACTTACATGAACTGAGGTTTTCATACTTGCATGTATATATGTAGTGTCTATATAAATATAAAAGTATAATATCTATATATTTTTTTCCTGCTCTTAAACTTAGAGAAATAGAAACTGGTAATGTAATTTTTAAAGCAGTGGAAAAATAGGAAAAATTAAGTGAGGACAATTATGCTTTCAACACATTCTTAAAAATAAGTAAAACATTTATGAGACATTAAATAATAATTGCAAATATATAGTATCTATAAAATACTACATATTTAATATAAACCAAAAATTGTTGGCTTGTTTTTATAAATATTTTGATATCTTTCCTAAATAGTCTTTAGTTCTTATTTTTATTTCTTTAAAACCTATTTGAATTGAGCTTCTTTTCACATATGAGTTGTAGTTCTTTATGTCTAGACATCAATTTTTTAATCAGAAGTAGAATCTACAAATATTTTTTTTCTACTTATTGGGTTGTCTTTTATTCTGTTCATCTTTGACTTAGAACAAAGTAATATACTGCTAAGTGTAACATTTGCTTTATATGGTTAAAATATGAACTAATCTACTTTTATAAAGTCTATATCCCACAAAATGTTATGAGATCAGAACTGAAAACTGAACTCATTCTTTCTAAGGCTAATAAAGTTGATTATTTTAGCAGAAACTTAAAGTGATTTTCATACATTTTAGTATATTTTTCCTGTAGTTTCTCAAGTAAGAAAAATCAATTAAAATTCCTTTTGTATTTACTGCAGTCTCTATTATAAACTTGGCATCTAACCTTCACTGGTTTCATAGTAGTCCAATATTTAATTTCAGGATTGAACATTTTCTATTAGTACTACATTTTTGAGTCTAGAGATAATTTAAAAATAATATATTCATGTATAAAACAATAAGACTATCTGATAATGAAATGGCAGTATTTATTATCATCTATAAAAACCTAATTAAAACTGTCATAAGAAAGCTCACCTTTCATGTCCTGTTCTATAGAAGTGCCTTTCCTCACACTTTTGATATTATTTCTTTTAGCAGTGGGGTGGGCAGGGGGAGTAACTCTATACTGAATCTAATCTAGAAAGTGTACATGCAGACAATTAAAACCTTCTGTATATTAAAACAATCTGGTGGGTTGAAATATTAAAGAATATATTATAGATCTGCAGATTTATTTGTATTGCTGGTCATTATGTTGTGGAAATTTCCTCATTACTTCTTTCATATTCCACGAGACTTACTGAGCATCATGTACTTTTGTGGCTTTAAGTAGCATATATTCTTTTGTTTTTCTTTTTGGGTCACACCTGGTGATGCACAGGGGCCAATCCTGGCTCTGCTCTCAGGAATTACTCCTGGCAGTGCTCAGGGGACCATATGGGATGCTGGGAATTGAACCCGGGTCCACCGAGTGCAAGGCAAATGCCCTACCTGCTGTGCTATCACCCCAGGAGTGTATATTTTTTAATCAGCATTTTTTTTTACCCAATGAATCTTTTTCTTTTGAACTTAGTAAGAAAAATATCAGTAAAACTGTAGATCTATGATGATAGATTAAAAGCTATGAATATCTTGCTATATAAAACACATAAATTTAGTATATAAAACATAATAAATTTAGAGTCCAGAGGCACACTTGCCTTGCTTCCCAATGGTCTTACTATCTCATATGAAATTGTTGATGACCCTGAATGGCATCAAAGGTCACTCCTGATCATAGAGCCTGATATAGCCTCTTTATCAGATGAAAGAGCACTGCCTGGCATAACTACCAACATCCCCCCCACCAAAAAAAATAATAGAACAGTCAAAAAAGAAACAAATTTAAAATTATATTATTATCTATGGAGAAAATCTAAATAGAACATCTTATGCATAAAATATTCATGTTAAAATAAAAAATTCCCTGCAATACATATACACAAATTTCAAATTTAACAAAGGTTATGTCTTTACATATGTCCTCCCAAAGCTGGAAACACTTTATAGGATTAAATTAAGCTATAAGGCAAGCTCAGTACTATTTTATAAGACATTAAACGCTGTTGTTTTTGTGTATGTGTGTGTGAAATTTACTTGTATAGACAGTTAAGTGGCAGAAATGTGTCATGTTATATAGCAATGCATATTATAAAAATACATTTATGTATTATTTCTATGTTGGATTTTGACCTAACATGTCATATATTTAAAATTTTATTTTTTATCTTTATGGCTTTTGTACTTCATACTCTTGAATTATTCAAATAATACATAGCATCTATATGCTGATATCTAAATAAAGAGCTTAAGAAATAGCATCACAAACTAAAATTACTTGAAAATACACACAATTAGCAATCTGCAAAGTGGAAAACTTTTAACTTTTAATGTGAAATCATAAAAAGTTTGTGCCAAAATGATTCTATTTTGAACAAATAAATAAAATAAAATGCAGAGCGGCATATATATACACTGCCAACACAGTTTTATAGGCAAAATAAACTATGGAAAAGAGAAATAATATATACAATCAACATACCTTTATGAGAATATCACATTTACTTTGGTATATTATAATAAGATTTACCATGGATATTACTTAAAGGAATATTTAAAAACATTTTTGCTTATGTTAATTCTAAGATTTTATAGCCACATATTTTGAGTCTCATTAGTCCATTTATCTATGATAGACTGATAAATGAGTTTTTTTCAAACATTATGTTACCATTTCCTCCTGTGTACTGACCTGTCCCCCTTGAAGAAATAGGTTTTGCCAACGTCCTCCCACCAAATGGCTGAGTCAATACCGTGTGGTGGAATCCCACTTCCAAGAGAAATCAAGTCATGAGGGTAACCGGGTTGAAGAGTTGTGTCCTTGAATACCCAATATTTGTTTCCTGCGTGAAATAAGTGAAAATGAACAATACACTAATTTAATATCTGAAAATAGAATAAAAAAGCTATTAACACACAGCATTCAAGATTGCATGAACTTCATATAACCCCTGAGTAGCCATCACAGCTGAGTTATAGTTATTTTTCAAACATCACTTTTAAGTGGTTACGATGAATAAAATAAAATGAGAATTCTTAAGATTACTGAAAATGATCTACGTTCTGATATAATGAAAAAATTCTGAAACAAGGATCCAAGATCCTTTCCCTGGGACCCCAAGGTCCTATTTTCAGTCCTGGCTAAATCATCCCTGTGCTTTGTGCAACCCATACCCCTTCACGCTTCTTTGTGGATTGTAACCTCCACTGGGTTCAAACACTTCCTCTCTTGATTGCCATTCACAATTTTTTTTGTGTGTGTTAAAGTCATCTCTCTTTAAGCCAATATGTCTTCTGTTTACACTTTCTCTTTAAGAGTAGAAACTGAAGGGAGAATTTTAACCCTTCAGTTGTTTGGAATTGCTGATGACTCTAAAAATAAGACAATCGTCAATCAACTGTATGGCTGTGGAAATTATCTCCAGACAGCACACTTCCTCATGAATTATTCCCTGTTGTAAATCATGTCTACTGTTTTCATTGCAGAAGTAGCCTACAGCCACTCCTTACTCCCCTGAAGGTTGATTCCAATCTTTTTTCCTTAGGTTTTCAGTCTCCAAGGCCTTCCAAAGGAACAATTCCTCACCCTTATCTATGGACACTGTAGCCCACTGAAAGCATTTTCCTCCCTGAACTTGGAGAAAACATTTTTCTTTTGGGTCCCTTTCTTTTTTGAGCTGCTTCTGCCTTGGTTCCTTTGCCGTCACTCTGTCATCACCAGGTGATTTCCCACCATCCTCACCCCGGCCTTCTCTGCTTATTCTAAATTAGACTGCAGGAGTAATGCAAAACCAATATTTGGAAGGGTCAGGTTAAAGGATAAAAGTCGACTGCCAGGGGATCCTGAAATATTGAGGCATTTTAATAAAAGTCATTAGGTATTCACTGTCCTAAAGGCTCATCCTGACCCCAAACCCAACCCTGAATTCTCCTCGCCCTGGTTCTTGTCAATCTTCCTCTAATCAGGTATTTTCTTAGATCACTGTCTTCCCCCAGGGTGAATGACAAAGTACAACAGTTAATATCTGACAACAATCCCCGAGATCTTCCTAACTAATATAAGACCATATTTGTTCAAAGATGTTGACACTAACTCCTAGAAGAGAATCATGATAAATAATCACATTCAAGTTACACCACAAGGAAATTAAAAAAATTAAATGCAAACCAGAGATGTGTCTCAAGTAGGAGAACACTTGCCTTGCAGAGGTGAGGTGCTAGGTTTGATCCCCTTAACATTGCTGATATGAGCCCCACAATAAAAACATCTAACCAATGCAGTGATTTAAAAAAATTAATATATATAAAAAATTACCCTCCAAATTACACTTTAAGGCTAGATTTAGTTAGAAGTTTCTGGTTTATAAAAGAGTAATCTTAATGTAAGAGTTTCTAATGTTTATTATTATTATTATTATTATGTTTTGGGGTGAGGACTTCCCAAATGGAGCTCAGACAGCCCATGTACCTCATCCAGAATTCTAAAGCAACACAGCCAGATAGTTGGATGCCAGCACACGAGGGTGATGTGTTAGCAGTTACCCTGGTGGTGCTCAAGACTTTGAATTCAGGAGACCATGTAGCTTTGGGATCAAACCACAGTCCTTCCTTCAGTAGCAAGGCAGACAACCTAACTCCTATACCATCTTCTTAGTCCCTAATACTTTCTTTTAAATCTTAAAACAGTATTTACTGCTTATGTTTTTAGTCAATGGATATTAGGAATTAAGGATACCAAAGAAAATCAGACATATCTACTTGCTACATATTCATTTCATATTCTATTGGATTAGGCTGATAAAAGTATATAAATATGTAATACAAACAATTGGATAATTACTGAGATAGTTTTAAAGAAAAAATACAGCTCTGAGGAAAAGAATGAAATTCACACTGAAAGAAAATCAAGATAGCCTCTCGGAAGAAATAACACATTTTCAGACAAATTTTAAAGAAAGAGTAGATAGTATCTCTGTAGAAAATTCTAGCAAGAGCATCCTAAGCAGAGTTTAAAGTGATCAAGGGGTTGAAAGACATCTGTAAGGAAAGAGTGGCATAGAAAACTAACATGATTTTATTTGTAGAATCCTGGAAAATCATCGAAGAAATTGAATTAGTAGAAAGATTCCCCCCCCCCTCCCGTTGATCATCGATTTGCTCGAGCGGGCCCAGTAACGTCTCCATTGGAGACTTTGTTGTTACTGTGTCTGGCATATCGAATACTCTCGGTAGCTTGCCGGGCTCTCCGAGAGGGGCGGAGGAATCGAACTCGGGTCGGCCATGTTGGCCGCGTGTAAGGCGAACGCCCTACCCACTGTGCTATCGCTCCAGCCCCAAATAATAACGTCTCCATTGGAGACTTTGTTGTTAGTGTGTCTGGCATATCGAATACTCTCGGTAGCTTGCCGGGCTCTCCGAGAGGGGCGGAGGAATCGAACTCGGGTCGGCCATGTTGGCTGCGTGCAAGGCAGACGCCCTACCCGCTGTGCTATCGCTAGAAAGATAAGATATATTTTGTTTTTTAAAACATTTTGTCTTCTTGTGGAAAACAGACATGGAAGGAATAATGGAAAGGAGGAGATTCGATAAGGGCAACTTTCAAGAATTTTAATCAAAGAAATCTTCCCACCAACGTACCTAGTATATACCAGACGTAGTTCTAGGCACAGAATATAATAGGAATATATTAGAAGAATGCTATTTCTGTCTCACCGAGCTTACATTATAGTGAGTAGGTATAGAGGGCAATACCTTTAGCAGACAATAAAGATATTCTCAGAATAAATAACAAAAATCTTTTTTATAAAGACGTAAACATGTATGTGAGAGTGATAGGATTGGGGTAGAAGTTGCTTTTTAAAAAACAAAACCCCTCATTTTTATTAATGTACCATGATTTATAATACTGCATAAATTCATTGTTGCATTGTTTCAACACCACACCCACCATCAGTATGCTTCCTTTTCTCCAACACCGTCCCAGAGACCTCTCCCATCTACCCTAACCGTCCAGGTAAATTCAATTCTGTAAATCAACTTTCAATTTCTATTGCCTTTGGCTATCTCTTATTCCCTCACCAAGTTTCTTTATATTCCACAATTAAAAAGAGATCATTCTATCTTTTCTTCTTCTTCTGACTGACTTCACTCAGTATAATATCCTCTAGCTCCAACTATATAGGAGCAACTTGCATTATTTAAGCTTTTCGAAAGCTGAGTAATATTCCATTGTGACTATACCTAATTTCTTCATTCAGCCATCTATTTGGGAGTCCTTGTGTTGTTCCAGATCTGCTGGCTATGGTGAATAAGTGCTTCAATGAACATATGACACTTTTCTTTTCAAAATAGTGTGTTTCAGTTCTTGGGATAGCTGCTAAAAGGTAGAACTGACAGGTTGCATGAAAACGCAATTCTAATACTTTTGAGAAGTGCCCATATACTTTTCCAAAGTTAATGGACGAGTTGATAATTCAAATAGCAGTAAATGAGATTTCCTTTTCCCTCACACCCATGAAAACACTGATTTCTTTTCTTCTTTTTATGTGTAACTATCTCACCAATGTGAAGTGATACTTCATTATAGTTTTGATTTGCATTTCTCCTTAATAATAATGATTATGAGGAGTATTTTTTCATAGGCCTATTGGTGATCTGTATGTATTCTTTAAGAATGTATGTGATCTTATTTTCTTCATATGTTGTAATTTTTTCCTCTTAAGTTTTTTATATGCTAATATATCTTGGATATAATTTGTTGTCAGATAAGTGGGAGTAAAATACTTCCTCCTGGTCTATGGGGTGACTTTTTATGCTAGTCTTATTTTTTTGAGGGAACAGGATGTTTGGGCCACATCTGGTGGTGCTTGGGGCTTGCTCATGGCTGGGTACTCAGGGATTGCTCCTTGCAGGATCGATTGGAGAGTAGGAACTGGATGGAACTATGGAAGTCAGCCAATAGGTGAGGGACAGATAAGGAATTTCACATGTGTCACATAAAGAATCATGGTAAGAGAATGACAAATGACCAAAAACAATAGAGCTGAGAACTGGTCTACAGAATTGAGCTTCTTATAGCAGGGAGACAGGAGAGAGACACTGAGATAATAGTGGAAGTAAGCATTTACCCAAGTGGATGTATGGGGTTGAAAAGCTGTATGTAGGAAACCCTATCATCAGCAATGTTTTAAATCACAGGTACTAAAAACCTTAGAAAGGAAGTCAAAGAAGACTAGTATATGCAAATTTTTTAAAGACAGTCAAGACTACTATGAGGTTTCAAAATTAAAATTCTATATGACAGTGTGAGGCATAATTGAAGACACCAAGTATACCCTTGGCTAGGTGAGTTAATGAAAAGGAGTCACTCTCATATATGTGGTATTTACTCATTTGGGATTTGATGTTGTTACCTAGAATAGTATATAAAATTGACAAACCAGGATATGCTTCAAAAATAGATGATCTTCAACAAAGGTGGATGTAGGAAAATGAAGATGAGATAGAAAACCCAAGAAGGAAAAATATTCAGAAGTGAACAATGACTGGTCATAAACTCTTATCATAGTCCATATATTGGTAGGAAGGTAGACATTGTGTGTGTACTGTAACTTTCTGGACAGTTAACTCATAGATCAAATTTGAATTCTTCAAATTATATATATATATATATATACATTATATACATATATATATTGCTTTTTAGGTCACACCCAGCAATGTACAGGGTTTACTTCTGGCTCATGCACTCAGGAATTACACCTGGTGGTGCTCGCGGACCATATGGGATGCTGGTAGTTGAACCTGGATCGGCTGTGTGCAAGGTAAACGCTCTACCCACTGT